CGCCAAGTTGCCCAGGCGGGTCTCGAACCCGCGGGGCTCAGTCAGTCCACTCACCTCGGCCTCCCAAAGCGCGGGATGACAGGCTGAGCCTGGCCATGAATTACTTCTAATTAGTCAGCTGTAGGGAGGCTGGCTCAAGATCTACCCTAGTGTTCCTGTGTCTTTAGTTCACGATTCTGTTTGAGTGGCATCAGCGATGTAGAGAGGTAGGCTTGTCTGTTGTCTTAAAAGGAAGAGCTAGAAAGGAATGACTGAAGCTGCATGCTTGTGCTTTTCATCTCCTTGCAGATGAGAACTCGGTCTTCTTTTTTTCAAGTATAGAGTTTTAGCAGATACTAGATTAGAAACTGAGCTTTGAGATTATTTTCTGTCTCGATTCTCTTATTGACCTGAGAAAAGATACTTGGTGAATCACTGAAGCCTACAGCACTGCCTTTATCTGTCTGTGCAAAGATAATCTCTGTACTTGCTTCTGTGCATCCTGTTAGAATGTTCCAACTTTTGAGTGACCACTTTGAAATAGGTTTGTCATTGCATCTTTTTGAACAAAATTAAGGAGCCATTTCTAGTTCTGATATTAAGTTAGTTTAACTTTGCTTTTTATTATATTTGCCAGTATGTGCTTGTATGTTACTCATTGAACTGCAGGTCATTCTACTTACTTAGTCTGTTTGGAGGGCATTGTCGCTGTTACTTCTTATGTGTAGGATCGTAGGTTGCCTGTATTGAAATAGAAATATATGATTTTCCAAGAACCTCAACTATTTCCTAGATGGAGTGAAGTGACCAGGAAATTGGAATTCTGGGTTCAAATATTGGAACAGAACGAGAATGGTGAATATTGTCCTGTAGAAGTGACTTCTGCAAAAGATGTCCCAACAGGAGGAATTTTCCAGCTCCGGCAGGTAACAAGATTATGAATATTCATATTAGATTCTTGGGCACCAGAAAGCTTAATATTGGCATCTTTTTAGCAGAAATGTTGATGGCAATGAAATCTAGACTGGCCAAGTCCATTTATTATTGTAAATTGTCTCTTATCTCATATGTATTTTCTTTCATTGTCAAAAGTATTGCTATTTACAGTATTTCAGAGCCAGCTTCTGTTAGGGTCAGGTAAGAAAAAGATAAGCTTTAAAGGAAAACTCAGAATTGAGTTACAGGGCATAAGACAGACATGTCAAGCAGCGTTAGAACGTGTGAGAAGACAGGGAGAAGCCATGCGGTGACTCGGCAGACAGAATAAGCATCCAGAGTCTAACATGTGAGGGTCCAACTTTGGCTCTACTGTGTTCAAGCTGTGTATCTGTGAGCACATCCAATAGCCTTTCTCCTTTACCTGTTATGTGGAGATGATAAAACCAACTTTATGGGTAAGTGTGAGGATTAGACTGATGCATATTTAAAGCACGGTGCTTGACACGTGAAAGGTGTCCAGTAACCAACTCTCTCCAGACTGAGACTTTGTCACATTAATGTTTCAAGTCTCTTAAAGTTCTCGTTATAGCTAAATATTTCCAGTTAAAACATTATATGTGGCCGGGCACAGTGGCTCACGCCAGTCTTCCCAGCACTTTGGCTGGATAGATGTGAACCCATGCCACAATCAGGACAGCAGGGAAATATGTGGGGGTGGTTGCTTAACTCCAGGTGGATCAGTTAGTCTGCACTGCCAAATTCAGAGGGAAAATCTGAATTTGTATGTAGGATTTGGAAATACTCCTTTTGCTATACTTTACATTAATCCAATGTTTAGTAGATTTTTTTTTCTTTTTTTGAGTTTGAGTCTCCCTCCATTGCTCAGGCTGGAGTGCAGTGGCACGTTCACGGCCACCACAGCCTTGGCCTGCTGGGCTTGGGTGATCCTTCCGCCTCAGCCCTCCAAGTAGCTGGAACTTCAGACATGACCTACCATGCCTGACTAATTTTTTGATTTATTGTAGATGTAAGCCTTCACCAAGTTGCCCAGGCTGGTCTCAAACCCATGGGCTCAGACAGTCCTCCCACCTTGGCCTCCCAAAGTACTGGGATTACAGGCTTGAGCCACCACACCTGGCCTGATTGTGTATTCTATGAGAGTTTCCATACTTTAAAACAATAGTAAATACTAGAATAGCTCCAGAAAATGAATGTAGAATGTGTCTAAAGCAAAATATGAGAAAAGATTAAGGGAAAGAGAAATCTTAAATCTTTAAGTTTCTGAATATTTTAGGAGTAGGAGGATAAGCCCTTGTTCTCTGTCCTCAACAAGTGAATTTTAGTAAATGCATCTATGTATGGGCAAGGAACTCAAAGCAAGAAGAGATTAGTTTAAATTATAGCATGCAATATATACATGAAATAGAATTCTTAAGAGTGTGAAGAACATCTTTTTCTGGGCATCTGTTATATTTATATCTATATCTTATATATACATTTCTTCTTGAATGCCTTAGGAATTCATCTACTGGGAGACAAAACCAGATAGTTTTCTATGGTTCAATATATATGAGATATTTAAGTATTTATCATACTTTTGACATTTTTTACTAAAAGTGTTCAAAGAAATGTTCGGTTCATCAGGAAAAGGTTTTTTGAAGGTTGTACATTTTCACCAGGGTGCCAAAAATCGTGCAAAGTCTGGAAAGACTTTTCCTATACAAATGGCAAGATCAAGACAGAGGTTGGAATTAGGTCCATTGGTGGAAAGTCACAAACTGTAGGAGGAGCTGGGAAGCAGGAAGAGAAGAGGTTGCAGAAGCTTGCGGCAGCTAATGCAGAAGGCCTTGAAAGCTAGCCTCATTCGAGTTTAATATGTTTGAACATTGGCGTGTATTGTTCCTGACCAGGAAGGTGACAGGGGACAACTAATGAAGTTTAACCGTGTGACAATTGTTGTTGTTTTGAGTTGAAGTCTCACTCTGTCAACCAGGCTGGAGTGCAGTGGCACATTCATGGCCATCACAGATGAAACCTCTCAGGCGATCCTTCTACCTCAGCCTTCTAAGTAGGCTAGAACTTTAGGCGCACACTACCACGCCCGGCTAATTTTTTATTTATTGTAGAGATGAGGTCTTGCCAAGTTACTCAGGCTGCTCTCAAACCCCTGGGCTCCTACAAAAACAACAATTTTGCCGGGCATGGTGGCTCATGCCTGTAATCCCTTG